ACTTTGGTAAATGTTAAAGTCTTCTCTAAAAATATTTCTTGAGTAAAAGTCTTAAAGTATCTGATATGTTTTGTACTTAATTATCAAAAGTAAATTTCTGACACAAAATCTACTAAAGTAGTAAAAGTAAAAGTACTGAGTAAAAGTGAGCAGTTAGATTTTACAAAATGACATTTATTGGGAGGTGACTTCTCCAAAAAATATTTTTTCTAACGGCGTGCAGCTGTGATGGGTTGTGTACAAGCTAATAGTGTGTCAGAATGGTATATATTTAAACTTCTCGTCCAACCACAATTAAATTCACTCTATCCAGGAGACACTATTTATCAGGATGGTATTTTTTAAAGTAAAAACAACTCTGAACTAGACACGGGTTTTTACGATATAAAAACAAGTGTGCATTGCCTTGTAGCATGTCATTGCCAGCAGCAATGGACTTGCAGAATGAACTAACCAAGTTCAAATGTGTTTTCTAATCAAGTACCAGCTTGTGGCTTTCAGCAGGTGTTTGTAATGAGGGTAATTGTGTGAAAATATGAAGTTTGAATAATCTTTTTGTTAAAGTTACTGTAGCTGGTATTTGAACCCTAATCTCCCACATGAAAGGCTATGGCATTAACCACAAAACCATTGGTGCTGGGAGAAAATACAATCCCAGTGTTTTTTTCTATGTGTGTAGAAAGAGGCAACATTGCCAATGACGATCGTTGACAAAGAACTGCATTATATTACAACAGTTGAACAATATTATATACGATGTTTATGCTTATAAGACAATAATTTAGTAATACATCAAATTACATATATATCAATATTGTAATCACTGCAATAATTGAGAGTAAATATAATTATTAAACTATGGTGCAGTTCCATACTGAGTAGAGACAGCAAAGGGCAGTATTGGACCAATACAAGGTCCATTGACTCCCATTATAATTTATTAAATATTAATATTTCAAAAACTATAAGTTGTACAGGCACCAAAAGGCATAGCCATCATTTGGCACAGGAGCTTTACAGACACAAATTACAATGGCAGCTCTAGGACAAAGTATGCAGGAGGAGAAGCGTGCCAAAGTGGAGATGACTTGGATGGGAAACGAATCACAATAGTGTGCATTGCATTGGCAATGCACACTGACAAAATAGGAGTAACGACTTTCTACTTCTTACCTTTTTTTAAAATGTAGTGAGTAGAAAGTACAGATAATTGTGTAAAAATGTAATGAGTAAAAGTAAAAAAGTACGCTGAAAAATAATTACTCAAGTTACAGATAACCAAAAATTCTACTGAAGTACAGTAACAAAGTACTTGTACTTAGTTACTTTACAACTTTGCTAGTTTGTTTGTTGCATTTAAATTGATGTCTGGAAATTATCTGGGGACCCTCACTTGATGTTTTGTGACCCACAAAAGGGTCCCGACCCCAACTTTGGGAACCACTGCTATAGGGCACCCTGCACATATAAACAGAAGGATGCAGCATGGCCCATTGCAACATCACAGACTGGGACTCTTCACAATCAAAGTGTGTCTGAGCTTCTCGTTCTCCTTCAGACCCTGAGCCTGCAGTTCCTCTCCTCTCACTGCTTTGATGTTTCCTCCAACAGCATCACTTTACTCTGCTGCAGACTCAACAACTGAGGGAAAAAAAGCTGTGATTTATGAAATTCACAACTCTGGATACCTCTGCCTGACCCTGCAAGTTCAGACCCACAACTATGTTCTGATCCATTAAAACAATCCAGAAGAAAATCTGAAAATAATCTTTAAAATTACAACCCTTCTAATACTTTCCAGGCCAAATGAAAGACTCGGTGATTATATATCACCTGCTGAATTTCATGCAAGTTTAAAACAAAGGTCATCTTACGATAAGAAATGACAGAGCTGTAGTCATTTGGTCAAATCTTTTCTCCACAGCTGGTGATAATCGACAAAGAATAGTTTAATTGTCTCGATGTTCTTTTGGCATTTATGGACATGAGTAATCATTTTTGTTGATTCCAGACAACAATCTCAACCACATCTGAGTAATATTATTAACTGCACCTGTCACGATGATCCAGCAGTGGCCTAATTTCATTTCCAAAGAGGCACTTTTACATTCAGTCTGCAAAATGTCACATGAATTCATCTGTTGTGATTTATCTGAAAAAAAAAAAATCCACTTAGCTGCTGCATCGTTTGGAGTCTGGAAAAGTGAGTGAAGAGAAGTAAACATCGCAAAAACCCCTTGAATACATGGAAATTGGATCATTACAGACCTGGGCTCTGATGTGTTTTTGTTCAGGCCCAGTCTTTGTTGTTATTCATAACAGGAAGTGACTCTTAATTTGCTGGCCCGTCAGTTGATCCAGTGATAAACTGCTGCTTTGTCCAGAGGAGGAGAAAGGCTGGTGTGAAAACACGATGTGTCTGTGAATCATCGCTGCTCAGACTTTTGACAGGTTTTTTTAAAAAGTTTAAATGTTTTCTGTAAATGAACTTTTAATTATTGCACATCTGACCTTAACAACACAAATATGTGCTCGGTGATTTCTACAGGTATGGAGCTAACATGTGTGGTGGTAGTTGAGTCCTTCACAACACAAACACCTGTCAGATCACACATTTTGAATGACGCACATGATTTAGGTTTTGACTAAATTAGGCAGAAATCATTTCACAACAAAAATGATTTTTGTCTGAAACTGACATGAAATGTGACATTATGGAACTGTAAATTCTTGACGTACTTAGTGAGCTTGTTTTTGTCAGGTTGATGTTCCTAATTGAAACCGGACTTCCTGTCTTGTTCGAAGATGTTTCACTTCTTTTCCAAAAGGCTTTTTCAGAACGAAGGGAGGGAGGCGGGGGGTTCATGAGTCACACCTGTCCCTCCTGTGAGTCAGTTGGGTTGTTGACACCTTGGACTTGTTTACCAGTCTGTTAGGAGTTGTTTTGCTCACATCTTCTGAGCTGAAGCTTCCCGAGGAGGAGAGTCGAGGCTGTTTAGAGCTGAGTGACTGATCAGAGAGCACCTCCAGCTTCCTCGACTTCTCCCTCTCTGTCGTCTCAATATCGTCTATATTACTGTCCTCTAATGCCTGTCCCTCCATCTGGAGACACCTGAGAGGCTGTTTCTGTGCTACGTGGAGACGTTCGGCATAAACGGTTGGACAGGATGCACCGGTGTTTTTACCCTCGAGGCGGAACAAGTTCCTGTCTGAGAATGTTTTGTTTTGAACTGCATTATTTATTTATTTATTTATTTATTTATTTATTTATTTATTTATTTATTTATTTGCTGCTGTCTTGGCCATGTCACTCTTGGAAAAGGGGTTTTAAATCTCAG